ATTTCACTGGATTCTCAGGTACTCTTGATGAAGCCGAAGTAGTTGTGTTATTTGTTGTAATACTGAGCAATCTAGGAATAAGAAGAACTACTCGAAATAATTCTAGCTCGGAAAGACGATCTAATAAAGTAAAAATCTGATATTATTAATTTATTGATACAAAAAGACGAGTGCAAGATTAATATTAGTAAATATGACAATGACGGAAAAATAAGATATTTACCAACGCGAGGTGCCACATTTTCTTTATTCATACTTTCAGACTTCTGTAATATATTAAGTAGATTATGAGTAAAGATTCTTAAAATAAGGTACAACTCTTCCTCTAAAATCATCAAAGAATCTAATAGTAAGATATGCACGTCGCAGAGGAAGAGAGATAAGGCACTCACGACGGCTGGACGCTCTTCTTCCCCAAGCTCGATGGGTCAGAGCGTAGCATACAAACTATTCTCGTTACACTTTCACATTTTTAAGAATGTGTAAAAGCATCATACATATTATTCTTGTTACATAAAAGCACTAACCTCTAGTCTACGTTTCAAGGCCAAGACCTTATTACTTTCCCTTGTTCCTGGTTCCAGGTTTCTTACCAAAACATCAAGCTCACCACCAAAATCATTGCGTACCTTCCTCTTTGATGTTACTTCAGGATATGCTTTGAAATAGAAAAGTTCCCAAGTATCTATTCCCCATTGCGAATATGATTTTTCCCAGTAATTGGGATGCCTAAGTTTGTGTAAAACGTCTTGTGACAACATTGAGGTAACGAAAAAAAAATAATAAAAAGTAAGTTATAACGTCATAGCTTAAATATTTACTTGGCTTTTGTCCATTATTCGAAAAATTAGTGCTAAAAACACGAAAATAACGCATTTGATAGGGATTACAGCAGATGGGTGAGCAGATAAGTATGGTACAGGCCGAAATTAAACAACCCTAACGCTATATATAACATCAGATCAGTATGGTACGGTTTTAAAATTCGGCCTGTGCTATATGCTATACGTATAAAATTTGGCCCATACCATACTGATCTGCTCCTGATCTGCGAAACTCCTCGTTTGATAAAAATCTGATAGGTTGAGAGACTGTCATCGGTTACACAATTGCAGATCATTCACCGAGTAGATAACCAATCAAAATTTGTAAATTTTTAAATTAATAAATTAAAAAAAAATACATACAAAAAAAAATCGAAACCGAAACGAATTAAAATATCAAAGTTTAAAATGACTACCCAATTTTAACCACGAAGTAATGCTTTATTTTTTTTGATTCGCATTTATTGCAAAGCAAACCCGAGAGGGGCCACGACCGTGGCATGGCTTTTGAGCCTACACAGTAACTAAATGAATTTTAAATCACCTCGTTTACACTTTCCATATAGGATGGTTGTTGACTACCTCCTCCGATATCGGGCATACTAATGTCACTATCATTTTGTGATGCACTATGGGCTCGGGGATTATTGCCGAAGGCAGTCACTTCGTGACTAGCTAAATTATTGTAATTATGGTTGGAATTTTCGTTCTCGTTATGGGCTATTATCTGAATTTCCATCCGCATCATTTACCCCACTAAGCATTACTCTGGTAAATCACGTTATTTTCAACCTCCGGTTGATACACGTTATTATTTGCGACATCTCGACTAACGTTCTCTTCCCTTCTACTAGGAACTCTTCGGATGGGTTATGCTGATCGATCTCTTTGGTTGGTAGTAGTTTCACGACGACCCGCGTTTAGTATTGATGACACTTCATCATAAGTTGGTGGTGGAGTGTAGTTACAGCGTCGTAATTCTTTCACTTCTTTAATTCCGTTTTGTAATACATTATTTCGCGTTATTACTATTTGTTGTATTGGTAAACTATACTTATAATCTAAATAAACGCAATAAAATATTAAAACGCGAGTCAGAATAGTAGTTTCAAATAGTTTTTTAATTGTAACGATCAAATGTGACATGATAAAATACTGTTTCTAGCGTTTTTAATCCACAGATTATAAGTTTCAGTCTAACCCGACAATAATATCAAAGGTCTCATCTTAGTATATGAAGAAAATCATCTGATCTCTCCCAGAAACGATAACGAAACTCTTCAAAGTATCGCGCCCCAATTCTGGATCTACGCCCGCTCGATATATTGGCACATCAACTAAGGAGGATCAAGAAAATCGTTAGATTATACGGTATCACAACCTAATTATGGTTTAATCTGTCAATGAGCGACTAAAAATACTTACAGTGTGATCCCTTACAAGGTTTTGAAATTTGCCCTTGCATTGATATCCCGTATAGTTGGTACTAAATCTCATTAATTATATTCGCAATATTATTCCCAAAATTCACCTTACTACTTTCCAGGAATATCGCGGTACTCAGCATTTCTATTTCTTCTTTCGGCGATTAATAAGCGCAATTGATCGTCAGTCCACATCAACAGGAGCGACCGTTAAGGTTACACAAATCGCAGATCACTTCCGTGATCATCCGTTCTTCAATCAGCCAATCAA